TGGATATTTTGTAAATGGAATTAAATCGCCCTGCTGGTCTTTACCACTTAAATGCAGATATTTTTGGAATCAGGTTGCTCAATATCAGGACTCTACTGGATCCATTTCTAATGGTCAAGACAAATCCCCAGGGGCTCCTAAAGCAGCAGGTAGCATTGAGAATGGGTGCACATGACTCCAGATGTTTGAGATGGTATACACTCCATTCAGGCCACCTCTCTCAGCCCTCTCCCAAGCCAAGGTGTTTTCTTCAGGTGCAGCAGTAGGTGGAATTCAAAACAAAACCTACTGCCATGAGATGGTGACAGGAGACCTGAAGGTGGTGATTTCCACTCTTACTAACAAATGTCACTGAGCGCAGTGGGAAACACCACAGCCCTGCAATATTGGATGACAAGAAAATCTCTGCCTTTTCTATTGTCATCAGGCACAATCAGCCACCCAACATGCAGACAGAAAATGACAAATGCCTCAGCATGATTTGGGAGGGAGGTGGGGTGGGATGCCAAGCATGTTGTTGTTGTTGTTAGATGCCGTTGAGTCAGCTCCAACTCAGTCTCCCTATGTACAACAGAATGAAACACTGCCTGGTCCTGAGCCAGCCTCACAATCCTTGCTATACCCGAGCCCACTGTTGCAGCCATTGTGTCAGTCCATCTCGTTGAGGGTCTTCCCCTTTTTTGCTGACCCTCCACTTTACCAATCGTGATATCCTTTTCAGTGAATTGTCCCTTCTGACAACATGACCAAAGCAGGTGAGACAAAATCTGGCCATTCTCACTTCCAAGGAGCATTCCAGCTGCACTTCTTCCAGAACAGATTTGTTCATTCTTCTGGCAGTCCATGGTACTTTCAGTATTCTTCACCAACACCACAACTCACAAGCATCAACTCTTCTTCAGTCTTCCTTATTCATTGCCTAGCTTCACATGCTAGGCATAGGAAATGGTAAAATCAAGCCGTGAGGTTCTTTGCCTGCTCACCCTTAAAGAGACAGACTAGGAGTGAAGATTCCTTCAGTGGACTTTCAGAGTTATTGGTCTATTTAAGTTAGAGTTATTGAGAGAGAGAGAGAAAAAGAGAGAGAGATAACAGAGAAAGAGAGAGAGAGAGATATGGATAGATGGATAGATAGGTAGATAGAATGAAAATGAACTGTACTCCATTTCAAAAGAAACAGATAAGCATATGACTATGAGACCAGAAGAACTAGATGGTGCCTGGCTACCACTGTCAACCACTCGTAGGCGGATCTATGTACAAGATCTTGGATAGAGAGTGAGAACAATGTAGAATGAAACTCAAAATCATTTGGAGGAAAAAAAAAAAAAGGAGACCAGGTTTACTGGTCTGAGCCTGGTGGAACCACTGAGACTATGGCCCTTAGCTGCCCTTCAGGTCTGGAATTGAACCCACACCTATGGCTTCCAGCCAAACAAAAGACAGGCATAGGAGTTGAACATATACCTGAGGTAGATACACTCCTTGGAGAGAACAATCATGGGAGAAAGAAGGGTTGTTTGTGCACAGGGAGACAGCT